CCTGCTTAACCTTGGGCCTGCCAACCTGGTCTCACACCCTGCCTTCCCTACTTGGCTTGTCACCAGCCTCCACACTGCTGGTGCCGACCCCGTTACCAGCTTAGTCTCTGGTCTGAGCTCCAACAAGAAGGGCCGCTGCGCCAGCACCTCCCACTCTGCGCCCTCACACTTGGCATGTCCCTCCCGACGTCTCCCTGGGGGCCCCGCCTCAGTGAGGTCCTGCCACCCACTCAGTCCCCTCGAGCTGCCCGCCCCTGGACTGGGCCCTCGGAAAGCATTCCTTCTTCACTCACTCACTCACCCGACTACTGTGCGCAGGCCCCAGGCCCGGTGTGCAGTCGTGCCGCCTGCTGCTCCGATCCAGGCTCTGCCTGTCTAGCCAGTGAGAGGCAAAGTACCGAGCCTCTCTGTGCCTCCGTTTTGGCGTCTGTAAAATGACTTAATAAAAATGGTGCCCACCTCACAGAACTGGGTGAGGTGAACAGATAAGGCGTAGGGTATGTGTAAAAATGTCTTCCCAGGCCACACCACCATGCGGGAGGCTGGAAGCTGTGTGGGAGGCCCGAGTTTGGCTCCCAGGCTTGTGATCCTGAGAAACTGGGGGGCTGGGGCAGGGGGACGGTGACTTAGCAAGACCCTGTGAAAATATCCCCGCTTCTGTCCCGTTCTCTCTCTGTCTCTCCCTGTTCCTGTCTCTCATCCCCCACCCCCACCATACTCCTCTCTGCCTTTCTCTCATAAATGGATTAAAAATGTCCGACCAGGGCCAGCAGGTGGCGTGCTGGTTAAAGCCCTGGATCCACACAGCAGACCACATATCCGGGACCAGCAGCTTGAAAAACATTCTAGTTGTATGCGTGTGCCCAAAATCCCAAGAGAAGAATGGAGGAGAGGATTGCAGTGTGGCCACCCCTCAGGGGGTGATTTCACTTTTCTTTTCTTTTTTGAAGAGGTTTTTATTTATTTATTTTGCTATAGGACGTGTGCACTCACCAGACAGACAGAGAGAGACAGAGACAGAAAGCAAGAAATCACCCCAAGAGGAGATGGCCACATAGCAATCCCTTCTCCTCCATTCTCCTCTCTGGATCTTGGGCACGCACGCACATGCGCCCGGCATGAGTTTAAGCCACCAGGTCCGGGACGTGAACCGCGGTCAACTACGTGGGAGTCCAACGACATAGCCATTACGCTAACGGCTGGTCCCTCTCATTTATTTTCTCTCTCTCTCATCTCTTCCTCCTCTGTCACTCCCCAGCAAGCACACATGTCCTGTAGCAATAAATAGATAAATAAATAAATCTAATAAAAAGCCTGAAGCAATGGCAGCTCCCTTCATCAAGCAACAGCGTAAGTGCCTGGCGTCCCTGAGCCTTCCCGTTACATTCGGAAACGTCAGATTGATGGGTGCCTGGCGTGGCGTACATAAATGTGGTTACTCTGGAAGAAAGACGGGTCGGTTAGAATGACCATGTGGCTTCTGAGTGCATAGACCTGTGTGGCTGGCCACGGCTCTGGCCTCAGGCCCCCATGGTCCCCTGACGTCTCTCCCAGGGATGGGCCTCGTGTCCTCCAGAATGATGGCAGGGTGACACCTGCTGGGAGAGAACTGCGTGTGCAGCCACAGGCCCCCCTGTTCCTGGGGCCGGCTCCCTTCGCAGCTTTGTGTTGGGGCTCGGGCATTCTCAGCAGTGGAGGGGAGGGAAGGGGGCTGTCCTGGCTTTGCTGATGGGACACAGGGCATCTGATTATACTGTCACCACCTGGCCAGTTCACATATTCTCTCCCTTCTGCC